AGGGCCCCCTACAACGCAGCTTTCCTCAGAAGGTCTACCGAAGGGTTTTCGATCGATAGGCCTATCAGCTCGTCAACGCTCTTAATTAGCGGGTTGACAATGTTGAAGGTCGTCACGGCCAAATGGCACGCTTTGGTATGCCTCGACTTTCGAAGGGGGACAGATTTGAGAGTGACCGCCCACACCCCAGATCCCCGAAAAGAACATCTGATCTGTGAGCAAATCGATAGACTGCAGCCCGGAGCTGGTGTGACAGCAGATGGCGCACAATCTCAGACTAAGTACGCCTTTTCAAGGTCCAGAGAGCTGACATGGAAAAGGGTACAGGGAATTTACCCACAGATGGAAGCCAGGTTCGTATGAAGGCGGTTTGTTCTGATGCCAGCTGACATAGGCTTGCTTTCCCTTGAATAAAACAGATTCTTTGAGTTGGACATGATAGAAACAGATCTGATATAATATGCTCCGCATCCATATCTCAAGCAGTTCTTAGCGGTTCATCATCATAGTTGATATGGCGATCAAGGCCAGCGCCATTTCTCCGAAGCGGAAATTCCGCCTCTTCAGGGAAGAGTACATAATGGGAAGTAGCATCGGAACGGCAAAAGAGAGTTCATAAGTACGATAGATACCTAGACAATGGTAGTCGTGAGAGGCGTTACATGTGTTGGACTCGTCCTACTGAGTGCCAGCCATGCCGAATGCCTTGTCAGGCCGAAGAGGTGCGAACATGTGGTATCCTATCAACAATAGATTGGTATCAATTTATATATCTGTAGGTGCTTTCGTGAAAGTCACAATAAATTATAAAATATCCCCGACCTGTCTTCCTTATATTCACTAATGAATAGTTCCGAAACAAAGTCGAAGTTCAAGAAAGACTGGACACGGATGTACTGATGCTTTCGAAGGTACCACGGAATAGAATAAATTACGCAAAGCAAAGGTACGTACCCAAGGGTTCTCCGTGAATTCGGAAGTTGAATAATCCGCGGCAGACATGCCCCGGCCGTGCACGGACTTGAAGAGTACCAATTGGCCAGCGCATCTGTCAGTGGACGTTGGAAGCCCCGCCGGCCCCATCGCAGCTGCCCCAAGGTCCCTAGCGGCAGGGAGCTCACAGAGCTAAACCGAACATCACATCAGGTCGCGACTCCCCTTGCATACGCGACCCGCAACCTCATCACAAGCATGCGCAACTGTACTTCGCAACACGCCCAACAGCCACCATCGATTCTCCGGTGTCAAATGCATCCAAAGTGATTGATGCGCCGCTTTTCAGGCTGACGGAATATACTCTCATTGCACCCCTTCCGACGAAATGGCCTCTACCGAGGAGGGCGCAGACGCCATGGACATTGAGGTGTCGCCCAAAAACAGGACCTCGGTCGAACACGATATACACCAGTCGCTCGGTTCCATCAGCAACTCCGTCGAGTCACTCGAGATGCGCGCCGATCCAGACGCGCAAGCTACAGTCACCGACTTCCTCGACTTTACCGAATACCTTCCTTCCGATATGACGCGATCACTAACTCTGATCGGCAAGCTCGACCAAACATACACCGAAGCGTCAATCAACGTCCACAACCTCACCTCGACCTGGGGAAAGCTACCCAGCATTCCCGCTGAGGAGCGTCCGTCTCCCGTACAGTTGCGTGCAGACATTTCCGACAGCCTGAACCATGCAGTCAGCTCCCGGGTTTACGCGCATGCTGAGGCAGTTCGCATGTCTGAGAACGTCAACCGCCACTATAATCGCGCAAACACCATACTGGCCAAGTTGAAGAACCTGCTGGAAAACTATCCGGCAGAGGAACAAAAGAGCCCCGTGGCGACCTCCAAATCTCAGCTTGTCAGAGCGCCACGGGTGATGCGAAATGGAGATGGCGAGAAGGTGCGCAGACCACGGATACCCAGGATTACTGTGCCCGGCGAAGTACTACCGCCATACGACCAGTTTGTGGCGTACTCGGACGACAGTGATGAGAGCTCTGAAGAGGAAGATGATGATTCTTTGGGACGGACGCCAGCTCGCACAACACCAGCACCGCGCATCAAAGTTGTCAAGACCCCCAAGGCGAGGCCACCAAAGACCCCAAAGGCTGCGTCCTCGGCGCGGCCTCCCAAATCTGCTGCGGGCCTGGCTTCTGCGGCAACTCCTGCTGTTGTGCTGCAACCTCCGCCAGAGAACGCCGTGATAGGAAGTGCGGATGCCCCCTGGTTGCAACTGACGCCATGGGAACTTGCGAGGCTTAGAAAGCGGATGAAGAAGAATGCAACATGGAGTCCTAGTGATACCATGATTTTGCGAGAACTCAAGACGCTCGGCCGTGGCATTGATGCCTACAAGGAGGCAAAAAAGAAGGCCGAGGACGAGGGCAGAGTTTTTGACCAGGTGCCTGCGGCTCTGGCCCCTGATGCTGAAGCTGGTAACAAACCAATTCCGGAAGGTGCCATTAGTGCCGCTGCGCTTGCGTCTGATGATATTCAGCTGAGCAATCGAGGCATGAAGCTCAACGAGGCCAAGAAGCTTAAGCGAGAGTCACTGGCTAAACAGGCTGCAGAAGAGGCGGAAGAATCAGCTAGACAGTTTAGGGAAGCTGCAAGACTTTTGATGTCTCATGAAGCATCGTCATCATCGGCCGCGAACAACACAAACACCACCCCCACCACCAACAACAACAATACTACCACGCCCTCAACGGCAAATAATACTACAACCAACACAACTGCAGACCAGCCGAAAGGCGCAAGCAAAGCGAAGACTCCAGCGAAGCCAAAACCCAACGGCAACAAGCGGAAGAGAGATTCTATCCCAGAGGCTGAGGCCGAGAAGCCTGAGCAACCGCCAGTTGAGACACCAGCGCCTCGTCCCGCTCCAAAGCGCACCAAGACGGAGACTCCAGTGCCGCTTCCTCATCTAAGAGCCAGTCTCGCTGCGCAACCTCTGACAGAGTCTACTATACCACCTCCTGTTCTTACACCAGGCGGTACTGCGGTTACTCCCAAGATGACAACCCCAGTGCCGATTCCTGTTCCCGGACAAGATGGCTCGACGACCACAGGCACTGGCCCTGCGGCTGCGAAGCCAGCGAACACATCCGCGCCGGCCTCTTCGCCGACTGGTTCGGTTGGGCCCCCGGCGTCAGTCGCAAGCACTGCCCCGGCAAGTATACTGACCAAGCTACCCGCGGAGACGCCAATACCGCCACCCATCTTGTCCCCCAAGAAGTCCACCACGCCCATTCTTCCTCCGGTGCGTGACTCTGCAGCTCGAAGGGAAACAAGGGGCGAGATGGCAAAGAAGAATCAGCAGCAACTCGACAACCCCACACCAGTGCCGGCGCCACAGGTTCCGCAGGCACAGCGCTCGTCATCTGCAGCGCCTTCGATCAAACAATCAAGCTCGCGTGCGGCGACACCAGGCACCACACCGGTGCCCGACGGCCAAGGGAGACGTCCCAGCTCGCGAGGAAAAGCTATGAGTCAAGAGCCACAGTCTTCGCTAGCAACTGACAGACCCCGTCGCGCTAGTACCGCGCGGAATACGCCAGCTCCCGAGCAGCGACAGCAGAGCAAGAGGACTAGAAAGCCTGTGCCTGGTATCGTCAGCAAGACCAACGCTGGAGGCAGCAGTGCCGTGGGTAAGCGAAAAGCGGCTCCCAAGAAGAAACGCGCTCAGAAAAAGGAAAAGGGCCAGCCGATCGAGATCGAGTTGGAAGAAGACGACGAGGGTAACCCAATCGACCCGAAAGAGCCACGGTATTGCGACTGCAACAGAGTCAGCTTTGGCGAAATGATTGCGTGCGACAATGAAGTAAGTGTTTTTTCGTGTAGCTCGAGGTCTAGGATCACGCTGACAATTGTTCTTTTTTGCGTTCAAAAGAATTGCGATAAGGAATGGTTCCATCTAGAGTGCATGGGTATGACCCATATTCCTGCGCGGACGACAAAGTGGTACTGCCCCGATTGTCGCCTTCGTCTGAACATTGGGGAGAAGGGCGAGATTAATGCTAGGGGAGTCAAGGCTTGAGATGAGGTCCTAGATGCGAGGTACGGCGTTGAATCGAAGGGAGATCACTCAAGCGGCGTTTTTGAGGGTATCTTTTAGGAGCGAGGAGTGAAGGTTGCCAGGGCTCATGATAGGCAAAGAGCCACTGCTGTACATTATTAGTCGTGTGTATCAACAGTATATGAAAGCTGCACCACGGTGTGGCTGTTACGGCGTCTGCGATTCTTCCAGTGTCGCGTAGTTGACGGTTGCGAGGGAATGTGTGTGGTTGATGCGAATGTACCGACTGCTTTACATATTGTCCTAAATAGGTAAGCACCTAGGCTTCTAGTGCCATGATCGGGCGACGGGGTGGGTTACACGGGACCGTTCGGCACATGCGGGGCCGGCGACTGCTCTGTGTCCGGCTTGAGAACCCTTACTCGATGCGACGAGTGGCCGGTGGTTAGCGTGGCCAGTGCATGAAATCGAATTCTGAAATTCCAAAGACATTGCCGCCGGCAGCGCCTTAATCGCGCACAATTCTGGCTAGGCTCTGATTTGTCGGTGAGGCCTCGATTCGCCCCGAATTCTGCTCAGAACTATCGGATTGTTGCTTGTTGGCGAGATATCAGGGGTTGAGGTATTGAAAGACTGGAAAGTCGAGGTGGTTGATGGTGGTCAGTGCGCACGCGCCTTCCTGGGGTGATGTTGGTGATGTGTATCTGAAGCACCCCCGTGCCTACCTACCTTTTCCAGAATGTTTGCTTTTTTGTTTTCCATCTCTTTCTCTCTTGGTCCATTTCATCTCAACACCTCTGCGAGTCATCCGAATGCTTCATTCATCCCACAAGTCAAGTCATTCTCTGGTGATCCCTGAATGCTATATTCAACGAATGCTTGTAGCCAGCCGACTTACACACGCCTATCTCGACGCGGTACCACATTCTCATACCTCCAAGCCCTTCTACCACCGATCCCTTCTTGAAACAAGCAGGTCCTGAAGATGGGCATCGCGGGTTGCGTTCAAGCTGGTCCATGTTCGCGGAAGTTCGCTTTGGCAATCGTTTTTGCGTGTACTAATCATATGTTCTTAGTTTTTGGAAACTCTTCGACGAAGCCGGCGTCGAGAAATCCTTGGCACAATGGGCCACTGATCACTTGAAGAAACATGAAAGACCACTTCGCATTACTGTCGGTGCAGCCCATTGGCAGTTCAAGAATGTCTCTAACGCCCAGGAAGCTGCTATTCAACAACGTTGGTCACCCATTTCAGTCAACCCCTCATTATTGCATTGATCTGGGGTTTCAATCTTGTCTATCTATATATATCCTGCACCATTTTTCACTTACGCATTTTTTGTTCCCTTTTGGAAACCCAAGAGAACCCCGAGGCTGACAATTCCGACTAGAATCACTAGGTTCCCACCCACAAGAGAAGGCCATCCTCGAACGTCTGCTGCCGTTGATGCGGCTCGGTATCCATGTGGTATTTGTCTTCGACGGCGAACAGCGCCCAAAAATCAAGCGGGGCTCCAAACGGTACGGTCAACGAGAGTCAACCACCGCTCTCATAAAGAACACGCTGGATCACATTCTCGTACCTTGGCTCCAGGCACCAGGCGAAGCTGAAGCTGAATGCGCTTTACTCCAGCAACAAGGTCTCGTCGATGCAGTCTGGTCTGAGGACGGCGATTGCTTCATGTTCGGCTCCACTGTTGTCATTAGAGACCTGCGGGATACCAAGAACCACGAGTCCAAGGAGCATGCGCGAATCTTCGACATGAGAGAAATCCGTCGCTTGAAGGCTGGCCTTTACAATGATAAAAGTGTCGCCTGTTTCGCTATGCTCACTGGCTGCGACTACGCCCCCTCCGAACTCTTAGGCTGCGGGACACGTCTCGCTCAAGAGCTTGTCAGAGACGGCGGCCTTGTCGAGAGCTTCTGTCGTATCCAGACGCTTCCTCAAAGGAATCAATGGCGAACGCGCTTGAGGAATTCTATTGAGAAAATCACCAGCCTGACAGACCTGCACTTCAACAAGGACAAGTCCAATATCATGACTTTCCCTGATCTTGATGCCCTCAAGAATTGTCGTTCGCCCGCAGTGTCCACCTCAGACACACTCAAAAGGCTCCCTTTCCTGCAGGGCGAGTGGTATGGCACCCGCACCACGAACAGCCTGGCAACCACGATTCCTTGGATGCAGCAGTACTACTTTTCGAGAATGACCACTATTTGGTGGATCAGGCAGTTCACACCCATGGTATTGAACCAGAGGCTTCTCAAAGGCGAATTTCAAGCTCTCGACCTCGTCGCCAAGGTTGCACAAAAACGTAAGGAGCGCCCAACGAGTTCCATCGAACTGGATCCCTGTAATGTGTTCCCCGGTATCGAGAATGTCTTCATCGAATCCGAGGGAAATCTTCTAGTGAACAGATTGCGAAGCGACCGCGAATTGGCGGGCAGTCCGATCGAGAATGGGAAATTTGACATGCTGGACGCAATTCTAGGGCTTGGGATGTCCGACGAAACATACCAGGCGTGGAGGAAGAAAAAGAGGTCACCTCCGGCAGCCAAGATTCATCCGGCACATTCAGCGCGGGCACCCCTACCTCCTCAGATGAGTCTCGGCAGCCTAGTTCCTTCCATTAACAGTTTTCAGGCAAAAGGCGGTGTTCTTGACGACTTAACGGAGCCTTCTAACATCGCCTTTGGTGTTGATGGAGCTGAAGTCATTTCGCCAGACCTTCTGAAGCTTCAAAAGCAGATTCTTGCGGAATGCCAGGCCAACAAGATTCGAACTTCCTCTATAGAGCCTCGAGGCAATAGTCGCAATAGTCGCATTGGTCACGGCAAGTCTCCAACTGACAGCAGACATTCTGAAGGATTGATCTCGCCCTTTCTGGTTCACAAGCCTGCCGTACCGGCTACTGCAAGCCCATCCGGTCGTTCCAAGCTCAAGACTGCAATGCCAGCAACTCCCTCGATATCAGAAACAAACGACCTGCAAAGCTCGGAGCAAACCGGAGTCTCAAAGAGACAACGAGGGGTACGGGATACGATGGGAGTATTGCCCTTCGATACGGCAGTGCTTACAGCCTCGACAACGACGATACTCCCTGTGAGTCGGCCTCAGCCAAGAAGAGAAGGCTGGAGGAAGCCAATGTGGAGGATGTACGAACCGAGGCCCCCGGGATGAGAGCAAGATGCATGCTTCTTGAGGTTGAGATGGACTCCTCTCAGGATTCCATTCGGGCTACCAAGGCGAAAGGAGACGGGCGATGTAAGCCTGCTATCGTGGATGATGATACAGGTACCTCCGGAGCGCGGGTGCATGGTGGCGGAACAGTTGACGATCCATTCGAGGTCTTGTAACGGAGGTTTTTATCTCAAACTTTTCTTCTACGGCTCCAACCTGGTCCAACATGGGACCATGGCGAGCTCATCATCCGATCTGGAAGGGGGTAATAGGTACGGATGGAATGGAGAGAACGATATCATGTACAGTACAAATTATATGACAAGCCAAGCAGCTTACGCAGAAGAACATTATACCTGAGTTGGTGTGTTTATATTGCACTCAACTATAAAATCCGGAAGCGCATGTCGCGTTAAAGAAGTAGGGTGAGGTCAACTTTTGGGTCCCTTTCCGACGGAACTTCCGAGAAACGCATAGGTGCAGCGCACTCATATCATTACAAATCGAATCCAAAGCCCGCCAGATGGCTCTAGGCGGGAGAAAGACAACGAAACGTGGATTTGCAACAAGTCGTAGGTAGGCAATGATGTCGCGTTTTCTTTCCCGAGGTAAAGATTCCGAAGCTTTCATCGGGTGCCGTCAGGGCTTCCGGGCCGAAGACTTGTGGGGATGCCTCCCACCCCGCCCGCCGTCCCGCATCTGGGAACGGGGGACGGATATAAACGTCATCTTGCTTCCTCCCACGTGCTTTCACACGCTGTCAACAATACTCACACTTACTATCACTCTATACCGGTATAAGCAAATCCACTGAAGCGCCCAAGAGGGTTATCAGTCGCCAAAAAGTGAAGGGGAAAAACCATCAGAACTTAGGGTGACAAAACAATGGCTTCACTTGCAGCCACAGAGGGCGTGGAGCCCCACGACAGCTATTCCAGAATGGAGCCGTTCTCGGCCAGCGAGACGGCGATGGAGCGGGACCTCCGGCTCCGGATACGGGACTTTTACCGGACCAGCGATAACAAGGACCTGAACGAGCGCTGGATCGAGTTCTACACGCCCGATGCCAAAGTGAAGATTGGTCCGGCGGCGGGGGAGAAGCACGAGAGTGAGTTTTGCTACCTACGTAGTACCCAGCATTGTGTTCTGAGGTATGGGGACGGCTGACATAGTTTGTGTATTATCAGACCTCCGTCAGCTACGGGCGGACATGTGGAGCTCTGTCGCGGCGAGGAAGCACTGGATCACGAGTGCAATCGGCTCCGATACGGGGAAGGTTGTGCACGTCATGCTCAAGGGGGGAGTTCGGAGGAAGGGGTTGGATGGTGCTGAGAACGTCTTCAGCTGGGCGGGTAGCGCAGACTGGGTGAAGAAGGATGGGGTGTGGCGGATGGATGCATATCGAGTTTGGCTCGACCAGTGGGCTCCTATTGAGGGGGAACTACCTTCGGTGTCAGAGTTTTGAAGTTGTGACATATGACGGCGCTGGCTGAAGCGGAAATATCCAGAATTGAGCAGTGTGTCGAATAGCAAGGAGAAGTGTAATGTGAACCAGAGCAATCCAGCCATTGAGATGTGGCAGTCATTCATTGAGCGTCGGGCACTTGCCAATTGGCGGCGCAATGCGATTTGTCGCAGCCACCGTGTTTCGGCGATGGCATTGCTCTGCCCGTCTTCAGCAGCGAGCAGATTGGCCTCGAGTTCGTCGATGACGGCAGATTCATCCGGTGATGGCTTCGACCTCAGACCGCCCCATGCGCTTGCTTGCGCTTCGACAGCGTAGCGGGCGCGGTTGGCCCCGTGCCTTGCATTCGTCGCGCGTCGCCTCGTCCAGGCTTCGTCTCGCGTAGCTACGCCTCATCCGAATGGGTTGCTTAAGTAATTGGACCGAAGGTAGCCAGAAACTCAAGTAGGTATTGCCTCAACAGAATCGTGACAAGTCGCCGGCATCTCAATTCTTGAAACGGCGATGATCGAGGTTCGCAATCCACCCAATAAAGCTGAAGGCGAGGTTGGGGGGAATGAGGAGGGGTATCCAGGAAAGCCCCTCCATACGTCAGCTATGGTGCGTTGTTCTCGTGGTCCACGGTAGAGCTGTGAGTGGCTCGTTCACCTGACGTGGTGCCCCCCGTTCCTCCACCGAGGGGGGTCAGGTGCCTTTGTCAGTCGGACGGTCTGGCCCTGAGCCGCCGAATGTGTGGCAGTTCAATGGGGAAGCGGTGCGATAGGACGGACGGATGACCGTCAACGGGAGGATACGGGATAACGACGGCATACCGTAGAAGGAAGCCAGGAAGCAGGACCGCAATCCTGAAGTGTTTGGCGGCAAATGAAGTCGACACCGTTAATTTAGTCTGGAATCCGTCCATAATTCCACCCCAGGAGGAAGCTTGGTCCAGTTAGCATCGGTTGAGCCTGCGCCGCTTGTCATCAGGCCAAAGCGGGATGATGGCATCAGTCACCAGCCCCAGATCGTCACCTTCATCTGTCTGTCTGTTGTTCGTCTTGCCGTCGTCCGTCTTGAAAGTTGCTGGCACAGGGGCAAACGCACGCACAGCCCAGGTGTCAGCAGCTGGTCCCCGCTCCAAGGATGGCTTGTTGGGGGTTTGTGATGGGATCTGTGACGGTAATAGTAGGTATTTGGCTTGCCAGGCTTGGACATTGTAGCTTTAAGCTGGACCTCGCGCCGTTGCCGCCTGCATTTCCGGCCTCGGCAAGAGAGTCTGTATGCGTATGCAGAGCTGAGCTTAGGTAGGCGTTTGAGTGGCTTTGTGAGTGTGTGTACCAAAGTGTATGAGAGAGAGAGAGTGTGTGTGGCAGACACTTCGGAGATTCGGTAGAAAGCAATGGAAGAAAATGTGTCAATCTAGTGGTGGACGGATGAGAGGTGGTCTCAGACAATATTGAATTCGTAGTTGAATCAGTGTTCCGTTCGTCTGGCGTGACGATAGTTTGATTTGGTCGCTTCCGTCAGGAATTCTGAGGGTAGATGAACTGATAACGCTACTGCGCGCGTAGGTATTCTTTGCCTGCAATCAACTAGTTAGTGAAAGAGAGGATAGACCGGGAGGCGCAAATAAAGGAGGTAATTCATATGTTGGAGCTTAGCCAGGCTGGGCTGGGCTGGACTGGACTCAACTCCGGTTGCTAAGGTCCAATGTGAAATTGAGAGGAGTGAGCGAGAGCGAGGGCGTGTAAAGGGATCGGAAGTGCCTCTTTCTCTTTGGAGTCTTGAAGGTGTTAGCCCTGCTATCCGCGCCCGCTGCAGCCCAGCTTGAGGGGAGGTGTCTTCCATTGTCTTTACGTACCTGCCATGCTGTTGTAACTGAAAGGTACCTGTTCGTAGAACGTCGGGACCATGTATCTTCCGTCAGCTGGTACGGTCATGTTCGAGTTCTCCGACAAGCAAGAGCTGCGGCGGAGGTACGGAAAGGGACATGACCAGGTACAGAGCACCGGGGCCCCCCAGACAGGCAGTCTCAAGAACCAACCAACCCCCCTTGTCCGCTGCGAGCTGGTTCAAGATTGGTGCGCTGTACCTATCTGCAGACTGCACCAGTATCCGCGGTGCGCGTCCTGCCCGTGATGCGCATCGCAGGTACCTGCCGGGCGAGGTTCAAGCCGAGAGCTACCTCCAGCCTGGAACCTACCAAGCTCGTAGATGCAGTTGCAGAACAGTGCCAATCCAATCGCAGAATCCCACCATCTGTCTCTCTGCTTTCCCCTCCCCCTCTGAAGTGCATCCTAGCAGGTTGTCTGCACTTGACACCCCTGTCATCCTAGTTCAGGTTCCTCCAACAGACTCAATCAGAAGGGGGGCATGGAGGGGTGGCTTGGAGGGGAGACTGGATTGGGGGGCACACCGCGCCGTACTCCGTACTCGGGGGTGATGGAGGCGCGCAATGGAACCTGAACAACTGGGGGGGACGGGAGAGAGCGAAAGCACTCGAATGCCCCGCTTCCATCCCGCGGGTGGCCAGCAACTGAAGGTACCTTGCCCGAGTTGCCTCAGATATGGCTTTCATTGCTAGGTAGCAAGCAGGATTCTGTTGTGCCTGGGAACGTCGTTATGACTGAGAATGAGGTGTTGCTAAGTAGGTATGAGAGTTGGCAGGCCTCTCGCATACCAAACGAAAGCAACCTGGAACCGTCAGAGAGGCCGCCCTGTTACGTGCCCAGGTGGTGCAATGTGCCCCGAGTCTTGTTTGGATAGTGCGCCCGGCTACCGGTACCTACCTTACCTTTACCTAAGGTAAGAAATGGAAGGAAGAGGAAGGTCTCCCCTCCGTATCTTATCTTACCTTTAGATGCCGCTGCCGCCGTGGAGGGGGTGGAGGCGGGACAGACCACCCACCCCCGCCATCAGCCACGGATAGAGCAGCAGGTCCAAGTCAGGCCGGGGGGTACCCAAAGGCACGTAGTGTACTCCGTACCCATGGTAGGTACACAGTAGTACCACCGCACCTCTCACCTCAACTAGAACTGGAACTGGACCGACCGGACCTGGGACCTGCCTACCTGACCTCACCTCACTGTCACTCACTCTTCCCCGTGCTCTCTCCTTCGACTCATCAACACCAACAACTCAAACAACGATCCACGATAGCAGCATTCCCGTGAACACAACAGTCACTTCACGTCCGTCACGACCTGTCACGTCTTTCCTCTTCTGTCTTCTTCTATAGATTTTCCTTTGGCCATCCTAGTAATCTCTCTCTTGCTCTCCACTTTGGCAGTGCCTGCAAGTAAAGCCGCTCTTTTCCCTCTCTTTACTGCTTCTTCCCTTCGCTTTCACCTCCAACCCGACGTCCATCTTGCTTACCGATCGGTATTCGACTTGTTCCGTCTTGCTTTGCCTGCCTCTATTTGCCACGCAAAACTGTTCATATTCAAAGCCTTTACAAAAAAATAGCCTGCGGCAGCCTTCGTCATCCGAGGTCATCTGCCGCCTTTGTCGACCACTTTCGCGCGACTCTCTAATAGACCAACAACTCAACTCTCGTCCTTTGCAGCCTTCCAACAACCCTCATACGACGATATCGAGCCACGTACTGCGACACTTGCATACACGCTTCGTATCGACTTCATCGTTCCCAAATAAGAGGTACAGTTGGCTTGCGGAAACGCAGGTCCTTGGAGCAGGAGACTGCTCCAACTGCCGCGCAACACCACTTGA